AGCAGACCCCGAGAGAGGGGGGGCAGAGCCTGGGGGGGCTGCAAACCCCGGCGGAGGGGGCTCCGCCCCGGGCAGGGGGCTGCGAGCCTCGAGGGAGGGGGTGCAAACCTTGGTGGGGGGCTGCAGGACCCAGGTAGGGGTGCAAGCTCCAGGACTGGGGGGGCTGCCCCCATCCGTGGGGGGCTCCCCCGGGGCAGCAGCCCGGGCCGGGTCCCTGTGCATCCCCGGGGATGCTGCAGCACCCGTCCCCCTGCTCCCTGGGAGGGCGGGCTGGCCCCCAGCCCAGCCGCGGGGGTCCCGCTGTCGAGCGCTCCCCAAAAGCGCTGGGAGCTGCCCCTGCCTGTTTGGGTCCTGCCCGAGCCACGGCAGCGTAGGCGGAGGTGTGCCTAGGCAGGATGAGGCCCCTGGTGCTGTTCGGGCGCTACCAGGGATGGAGAGGGGGGTGACAGCTTCGCACCCCCGGGCTGGAGCAGCCCAGGTGCTGGGGAGTGCCGGAGGGCTCTGCCCGCAGGATTTCCTTCCGCGTTCCCTCTCGCTCGGGGCTCCAGCACCCGGCTGGGCCCATCCTGCGCGGGAGGAGGCTGCCGAGCTTCCCTGGAGCTCCTTGCCTTCATCATCCTAACACGTATTTGCGCTTTTCCCCCCCTCATGCACCGAGCATCACAACGATGTACCCAGATCCACCAGTGCTCCAGACTGAGCTGTGGGGTCTGGTCATGGTCTTAGGGGCTTATTTTTTCCTGGATGGAAAAGGGAGCAGCTCCCAGCAGGGAAGGGAGCTCGGATGCAGCCAGGAAGCCCTCGCCGGTGCCCTGGAGGTGCTCGGATGCCCCTGCAGAAAGGGAGAGGGCCGTGTTGTGGCACGGATAAATAGGACGGTTTAAGTCATTCAGGTGTTGCAGCGCTGTGAGCAAGAGATTTTCCTCCTGCTTGCGTAAGGCTTTACGTGAAGGGCTGGATCGGAGGGAAGGTTCCGCGCTGGGGCGAGCGTCCTGCCCGCGGCACGGTTTTGCAACCATGGTTTTGCCGCGTGGGCCGCGGGGAGCGTGCCAGGGCACTGCGCCACCTCGCCACCGTCCCGTGACGGGCACAGCGGGACCCGTGCCCACCCCACAAACAGCACCCGGCTCTCACCGTGGGGCTGGCGTGCGCGGCTCTGGGATAGACCCATCCCTGCTCGCAGCCTTGGGCACCTAGCAAGTCCGAAGCCTGTAACTGGGAGATTTATGGCTGCTCTGACCTTGCAAAATTGCTGAGTCAGATGGCGAAGGGTGTTGGTTAGTTGTTGGGTTTTTTTGCTGCATTCTCTGGCTTTAAAAAAAAAAAAACAAACGTGGGTTCCCGAAGCCTGGAAGTGCTCCTGCCACTGCCCCGTCCTGGTGCGAGGACCGTCCCCAGGCTGCGGCGAGGGGGAGCAGCTGGTCCTGACCGTGCACGGCGTGCTCAGGCTCGCTTCTCCGCGTCCTCCTCCCGCAGGAAGGGTGCGATATCCCGCGCTTCCCGAGGGCAGAGGCGCTGGCCCCAGGGGCCGCAACCCTGCCAAGCCTCGGGTGTAGGGGAGGCATGCAGAAGGTTTTGGACATGCCAATACTTTTTGGGGTGCTTGTTGCAAGCTTGCACCCCTCGTGCAGGGGGGATCCCCCCGCCAGGTGGCCCTCCATGGCTGTGTTGGGCTCTGCTGCCTTCTCGGGGAGGGCTGTTGTGGCGCATCTGGTCTTTGGACTTTGCTCCTTCCTGTCCCTTAATTTTCCAAGTGCAGGGAGGGAATGATCCTCCTTCCCCGAGGACACGGAAGGGCGGCCTGGACTGTCCATACCTCTCCAGCGAGGCTGGGCCCGCTGCCAGCAGTGGGGCCGGGGGGTGTTATCAGGGCTGGGCCAGCCCCAGGAGCGGTCCCTGTCCCCCCCCAGGGGCAGCACGATTACGGGGGGGCCGCGCCTGCCCTGTGCCATGCTGATAGTGTGGCCCGAGGTGGGATGCCTGTCCTTGCACCGGCAGAGCAGGGATGCTGGGGGGACTCCCCGGGGAGCCGTCGCTCATCCCTGGGCAGGGATCCCCCCAGGAGCACCCCCGGCCTCCAGCATCTCCCCGCCACGTGTTGCAGGGGGCTGGCGCCATGGCCGAGAAGACGTTGCCAAGCCCCAGTGGGGGCATCACGCCGCTGCAGCAGATGCTGGCCTCGGGGACGGGGGCCATCCTCACCTCCCTCTTCGGTGAGGACCGCAGGGAGCGGGTGGGCACCGGGGGCTGGCGCGGCGCAGTGTGGCTAAATGATGGTGTCATTTCAGTGACGCCGCTGGACGTGGTGAAGATCCGGCTGCAGGCCCAGAGGACCCCCTTCTCCAAAGGTAACCCCACTCAGGGCAGGGGTCTCCGGCCAGCCCCTGCCCCAGTCAGCCAGCGAGCAACCCACGTGGATGTCTCGCTTGGCAGAGCCAGTGGCGGGGGTTTCTCGGTCCTGAGCGTGGGGCCGTCACGAGGTGGCAGGTTACCATGGGCCCCTCGTCCTGGCGGGCTCAGGGGGCCCCGCCGGGGGAGCCAGGCTGTTGCTCAGCTCTGTCCTTCCCCCTTCGTGGCCTCATGTTGACGCTGAGCGGGGTCAGCGCTGTGCCTGGCAGCCCCCTGCCCACCGAGGAGCGGGGTGGAAGGGCTCAGCCTGCTCCAGCTGCTTGCTCTTATCCTTCCTGCCTTTGTGTCCACCTCCACGCTGCTCCTTGCGGCTCCCACAGGGCAGGAGAGACCCCATGGGCTCTGCCCCCCCCCTCTGTCCCCCTCCCTGCGGGGGCAGCGGGCTCGGGCTGGTCCCAAGGGACTGGTCTGGTGACAAGAGGGACTGCTTGGGAATTGGCTGCAGGGACATCCAGCCCCTTCACCCACAGAGCTCTCCCACCGCCCGGCTCAGAGCTGCGGGACACACATGTGCCCCAGCCCGGGGAAGTGGCACATCCTTCACGTTGTCACTCAGTGTGTCCCTGTTGTGTGTTTCAGCGTTGCCAGCGCAGTCTGTGCCCTGGGGCACTCAGCAGGCCACATGTGAGTACACCCGGGGATCCCGGGCAGCTCCCGCTGCCAGCGGCTTTGCTTTCCCAAGCCTTGACCCTGGTTTTCTTCCCCGCTGGTGGTGGCTTGGGCTCCTGTGGCTGGGAGGACATCCCGCTCTGGTGTGGGGGCTGCGATCATCCCCAGCCCTGCAGCTCCTCCTTCAGCCCTGCTTTGGGGCTGGCCGTGCAATGTCCCTGCTGGGTCCTTGCCCGGGGAGGTCTGCTGGGGGTCTGTTGTGCAACAGGCCTGGCTGTCTGCGGTCCCCCTGTCTTGTCACCCTGTCCTGTTGCTACATCAAGGTCCCCTTGGATCTCCGCCTCCCCGCTTGCTCCCTGCAGCCCGGTGTCCCTGTGCCTTGTGCGCTGGCCCCATGGAGAGCACGGGGGGGAACCATGCTGGCTCCCTGCGATGGCACCCCTGCCATGCTGGGGCAGCGGAGCTGACGCCGAGCGAGGTGTAAACGTCTCCTGCTGCTGGCAATGGCTCCCATGGTGGGGCCAGATGCCTCTCACCCCATGGGTCTGGCCACGGTCGGACCCTTGCTGGAGAGTTGTTCCTCTCCTGGCCTTGGTCTGGCCCCCAGTGGGCTGTGTTGCAGGTTTGGCTCTCTCCTGGGAGAGATGGTGGTTTTGAGGATCAAATGGGCTGGGCCGAGGGGAAGAGTCCCCTGTCTAACGGCGATGCTGTTGCTTCCCTCCCCAGGGAAGTGTTTCCTCTACTGCAACGGACTCATGGACCATCTGTACGTCTGCCAGAATGGCAACGGCTGCACTGCCTGGTACAAGGCCCCCACCCGCTTCACTGGCACGCTGGTAGGGGCTGGAGGTGTGGGCAGGGGTCTCTCTGTCCCAGGGAAGGGGTCAGGGTGTTCGCTGGGGGGCTGCTTGCCCCTCTCCCCCCTATAGCCCCTCTCCCTGTGCTCCCCTCTCTCCCCAGGATGCCTTTGTGAAGATCACGCGCTATGAGGGCGTCAGGTCTCTGTGGAGCGGCTTGCCCCCAACCCTGTGAGTTTGGACCCTGCCTGGGGCAGAGTCTGGGTGCAAACGCCTGCTTGGGTGCACGGGCATTGGCCCCGAGCCTGCTGCCAGCCCCCAGGGAGGGCACACGTGCCCCTCACACGCCTCCTCCTCGGCAGGGTCATGGCTGTGCCAGCCACCGTCATTTATTTCACCACCTACGACCAGCTCCGGGACTACCTGCACGCTCGGACGGGAAGCCGGGGGCACCACATCCCCTTGCTGGCTGGGGCCCTCGCCAGACGTGAGTACCCCTCCTCTCCGAGGCTCCCCCTGTGCCCACCCTGTGTCCTCGCAGGAGGGCATGGCGGATCTCTTGGCTGTTGGTGCCCACATTCAGCACCTGACTCTCCTGGCACGGCGCTCTCATGGCTCCGGGACAGCTGCCGGAGTGAACGGGGCTGATGGCTGATGTCCCCTCCATTGCAGTGGGCGCCGTGACGGTCATCAGCCCCTTGGAGCTGATCCGCACCAAGATGCAGTCCCGGCAGCTCAGCTACCAGGAGCTGGGCGTCTGCATCCAGTCGGCAGTGGCTCAGGACGGCTGGCTGTCCCTCTGGAGGGGCTGGGGACCCACTGTGCTGCGAGATGTCCCCTTCTCGGGTATGGCTGTGGGGGGACGGGGTGAGCGGTGGCACTGGGAGATGGGGAAACGAGCACAGGGCAGGGCAGCCCTGCGCGTGGGGAGGTTGGTGTGTCCGGAGTGCCTCGTCGTAGCACTGGTGTTTCTCATCTCCTCCCAGCTCTCTACTGGTTTAACTATGAGCTGGTGAAGGAATGGCTCTGCAGGCAGGCCCGGCTCGATGAGGCCACGTTCATGATCAGCTTCGCGTCCGGGGCCATCTCTGGAACGGTGAGTTTGGGGCCCTGTGGTCTGCACTGTGCAGGGGCTCGCTCAGCTGTGAGCGGGGAGAATGCTCCCCATGGGGAGCAAGGGATGGGGCTGGGACGGCGCTGGGAGGTGATGGCAGAGCCTGTACCGGGCAGGGACAGCGAGGTCCCAGCTCACCGCCTGGCTGCTGGCCCCGCAGGTGGCTGCGGTGCTGACGCTGCCCTTTGACGTGGTGAAGACCCAGCGGCAGATCGAGCTGGGAGACAGCGAGGTGCACCCAGGTGAGGGGCCGGGCTGCAGGCGGATGCCTGGGGGGCAACCAGGACTCCCTGATGGTACGTCAGCATCCCTGGACCCTCACCCGCTCCCCTCTCCCCGCAGTCGCAGCTTCCAAGCCTTCCTCCACCTGGCTACTCATGCAGCGCATCCGTGCCGAGTCTGGCACCCGGGGGCTGTTTGCAGGTGAGGCTGTGCCCCCCGCCCCAGGCTGGGCTTTACTGGTGCCCCGGTGTCACCGGGGGGCTAACAGGGTTGTCCTTGCAGGCTTCCTGCCCCGCGTCATTAAGGTGGCACCCGCCTGCGCCATCATGATCAGCACCTACGAATTTGGCAAGACCTTTTTCCAGAAGCTGAACCAGGAGCGGCGACTGCCCGGGTTGTGAGCTGGGGCAGGGCTGGATGCAGCCGATGGCCCAGGGGACGCTGCCAACCCTGCTCCTGGCCAGGCGCCCCAGGGGCAGCAAACCGCACTCGGCTGTGCGAAGCCCAAGTGCCTTTGTGCTGCGCTCTGCCTCCCCGCTGCCTGCTCGTGGAGGCAGGGCCAGCCCGGCCCCGCTCTCCATCCCCAGCCGCACTGGGGGACATCTGTGCCTGCTGCTGTGACACTGGGGGGCTGTGGAGTCCCCTGTGCTCATCCCTTGAGGCTGGACAGATGCTGCTGCTGGATTCACGGACGCTTGGGCGAGGACAGGGTGCCCTGGGAGACTCAGCAGGACAGGAGATGGGAGCTGGGGCTCTGGTGAGGACCAAACCTTCGGGGGGCTTCTCTGCGTGCCTGCCTGGGCCCCCCGGCCCTGCTCCAGCTGGGAGCCCGTGCCTCCTCGCCATCAGTCACACACAGCGTCCCCTTGCCAGCTTTGCATGGCATGGGGACACGTCAGGACCCTCTCCCTGCCTCCGGACCTCTCCTCCTGCTCAGGGTGTCTCTGTCCCCTGGCAGACCCTGGGCTCGGACCCTGCGTGGGGACAGACCTCGCTGCTGCTCCGGGGGGGCCGGCAGGCATTCTGGCAACAAACCTCTGCCCGTGCCCCGTCCCTTCACCGCGAGGGCCTGCCCTAGCATCGTGCCCGGTGTGGGTGCTGCCCCAGCTTGTCTCTGGACTCCAGGGGGGAATTTCTCTTATTTTCTTAAATAAAAGAAAATATTATTTGTCTCTTAGGGTAGGGATTTCTGTCCCTGCTCCGTGCGTGCTGGGGCTGTGGGAGGCATCCCCACAGGTGATGGCTGCGTCCCTGCTGTGTGGGTACGGTGCTGTCGCCCACCAGGTCCTGGCTGGGCTTTTACTGGGGGTAAGGAGACCCCGGGACCTCGCTGCTACCCCCAGCAGCAACCCGCTGCGGACGGGGCAGGGGACGCTCCATGCTTGGGTGACGTGCTGTGTCCCAAAGGTGGTGTCCCTGCCCTGGGGGGCTGGAGGAGGCTCACTGCCCACCCCCAGCATCCCTGCTCGGGGCAGGACTGGGGGCCGCAAGGGCTCTTTTCCCCCTTTTCCCTCTCCCGGCTGGGGGAGCTCACGGAGGCCAGCTCAGCTTGCTGCGTTTATTGATTCCTTTTGCTCCAACAAGGCAGATGGGGCTGAATTAAAAACCAAAATCACCCAAAACAACCCAAAACCCAGGGGAGGATGGGAAGGGGGGGGGGCTGCTGCAAGGAGGGACCACTGGTCCCCAAAGGGAGGGACAGGCCAGCCCCCCCGGGGAGGCCGGGCACTAGAGGGCAGGCGAAGCCCGGGTGGGCGCCCCGAGGGAAGAGCGATGCCCGTGGGCTGAGCGGGGTGGGCACCGGGGCTGTGCCCAGACCCTTGCCCTTGGAGGGGCTTTGGCCCTCACCCCCTCCCTTGCTCCCCAGCAGCAGTCGCTCCCGGTGTCCCCCCGCAGCACAGTTCGTCCCCCCCCGCCCCATCCCCAGCTCGCATGGGTCCTGGTCCGGCATCCCCCATCCCAATGGGTCCATGTCTCCAGCCAGGGACCGGGCTGGGGGTCCGAGGCACAGCCGGGGTTGGGGTACCAAGACGGGGAGGGGGATGCCCGTCCCCAGCCTCCCCGGTGGGTTCGGCGAGTCCCTCGTCGGTCCCGGGGCGGCGAGGGGGGGACGAGGTCAGTCCTCCGCCATGACGCTGGGCTGGGCGGCTGGGCCGGGGGGCGGCGAGGGGGCCGGGGGTCTCAGCTGGGGCTGGGGGGCGGGCTGGC